GCCTTTGAATTGTGGTATTGGAGAAGAATATTGAACACACCATGGACTGCCAAAAGAACAAACAAATCTGTCTTGGAAGAAGTACAGCCAGAATCTCCTTAGAAGCAAGGATGGTAAGACTTCATTTCATGTACTTCAGACATGTTATCAGGAGACACCATCATGGAGAAGGACATCATGCTTGGTAAAGTAGAGGGTCAGCAAACAAAGGAAGACCCTCAATGAGATGAATTGACACAGTGCCTGCAACAATGGGCTCAAACATAGCAGCGATTGTGAGGATGGCACAGGACCAGGCAATGTTTCATTCTATTGTACATAGGGTCGCCATGAATAGGAACTGACTTGACAGCATGTAACAATAACAGTGTTAATAACTGAATTGTGCCCCCCAAAAATGTGTGTTGTATATCATAACCACTATACCTTTGGATGTAATCTCATTAGGGAATGTGGTTTTTTCATTGTTATGTTAATGAGATATCTCAGGGTAGGGTGTGTTTTAAGCCAATCACTTTTGAGATATAAAAGGAGCAGATGAGGCACAGCAGCAAGGAAGCCCAAATGAAGAAAGATTGATGCCACCTAGAGGTCACCAAGAAACCAAAGAAGAGAAGCTAAAAAGAGACAAGGATTTTTCCTAAGAGCAGAGATTTCCCCTAGAGCTAGCACCCAGAATTCCAACTTCTAGCCTCCTAAACTGTGAGAAAAGAAATTTCTGTTTGTTAAAGCCACCCACTGTGGTATTTCTGTTATAGCAGCATTAGATAAGCAAGACACCCTCCACTTCCCCTGGTTTCCTTTCAGCTTAGCGGTGGCCCACGCAGAGCCAGGACTAGGGTGAGTCTAGTGAGAACCCCATGGCCAAAATTTAAGGACTGAGTTCTTCCCTGTGTCCTGCAGCCTCACTTACTTCACCCTCGTCCAGGCACTGGCCCTGATCAGATTCAGCTTCTAACAAGCCCTCCTCCTGCGCTAAATCTGGGCCTCACATCCCTCACACCTCCTCTACTATCTTCCATGTGGCAAGCCTTTTCCTGTTCCTGCAGGTCACTGGTGTTTCTGGAATTAGAGTCCATGCCCTTTCCTCCTGGTTTCCTATGGTCTCCTCTTGGTTTCCTGTTGGTTCAAGGGCATAGTGTCCTCAGGCGCTTCCTTCCTGCAGTTCAGACGTGCATAGTGTCCCCTTGGGTTTCCTTTCCTTCCTCTTGGCTCAGTGGTGCTAGGTTTCCCCAGGGCACCTCCCACTCCCTCATCCCCAACCCCCACATGCCACGCACTTTTTATTTGGATTGTTTTCCTGGGACCTCGCAGCTCTCCACTTTTGTGTGCTCAGTCCTCCACTCCTGTGGCCTCAACTTATCATTTGCTTATGTGGAAGATATCCTAGAGTCTTAACTGATCTCAAAGTAATATGCTGTGGGGTGGCTGCTAAAAAACTCAACAGTTATAGGGCTTATAGTAGCCCAAGACTTTGTCGCAGACAAATTATATTCTACTCTTAATAGACCGTGTCTGAAGCATGCATTTCAGTTTCGAGTACACCAATTTAAGAACAACAGTTTCAAACTCAAGGTAATTTAGGCCTGGCAAAACTACGGTGCAATTAAAAATGAGGCAGGCAAGGAGGTGTAGTTTCCTGAGGAGGAAGAGACGTTAACATTTTCCATACTGATAAATGTTTTGTTAGGAGCTGAGGAGTGGTTTACTACATTAAGATGGGTTCCAGGATGAATTTACAAGTTTTCAATTCTTCATTCTGTGTGAATCAAGATTTTAAATATTGAGGTGCTGGTAGGTCTAACTGGGGAGATTTCAGAACTAAAATTAAGTGCTCCACTCAGAAATTAAACTGAGGGTTTTACTTCTACAATCTGATGACCATTAGGCTTCTGTTAAAGTTGCCATTTGAAAAACAAAGCTCAGTCGTGCTTGTTATGTTAAGAGGGTTCCCACAGATGGCCTTAGAGAAAGCTTCTTTGAATTGTTGAAGTAAATTAGAGCCTATAGATAAACATGTTGTTTTAACTGCCTTAAAGAAGTTCCCCAGCAAGCACCTAGGCATTATCTCTTCTCTCAGCTAAATAAGCAGTTTATTTATACTTTTCTTACTAATGGTCAGTTCTGTATGCAAAGATTCCAATTAAGTTGGCCGAGCTGCAATTATATCATTAACTTCTATATCACTAAACTTTCATGTCAAAATTGTTTATACTTTTCATTTAAGAAATATCGCCCTAGTTAAAATGTATCAAGTGAGAGAGATTTTGTTAGACTAGAAACTGATGTGAAGGAAGTTTCACAGTTAATTGCCACCCTTATAAATCTCACCTCCTTTCCTGCCATTGCTTGGATGTGAAGTGGTTAATCTATACTCACTCTTCTTGTTAAATATCTCTTTGCTTTGCCTGTAAGGCAGAGCATACGTTACAGCCAAACTGAACAAATGCTCTCCTGTGGTTCATTCCTTCAATAAATTTTATTTGTTTAAATATCAAATAAGAGTGTTAGTCCAGTGACTTCACGAGGACAATTCTAAAGAGACAATCCATGCCCTGCCTTACTTCTATTACAAAAAACCCGTTGCCATCAAGTCAATTTTGGCTTGTAGTGACACCATAGGAGAGAGTAGAACTGCCCCATAGGTTTCCAAGGAGCAGCTGGTGGATTAGAACTGCTGACCTTTTGGTTAGCAGCTGAGCTCTTAACAACTGCACCACCAGGGCTCCTAATAATCTATGGCAGAGGCACTATTCTCACCAGGAAGCCCTTTGCTTTGTATCACTTTAGGGAGTTATGAAGTTCCCTAACCATCAAAACTAAGCTCTCTCTAACTGTAGGCTAGGTTAAGTCAGTACATTTATTTAAACTTATTTTGAGGTGCGTACTTCCGTTATCTGAAGAACCCTCCATGCCTGCTCCTGTCCCAGCATTGCAGAGAGAAGGTCCCTGACACAGGGAGTGCACCTGCATGCCTCCTAAGAGCAGTGAGGGAGGGAGGCAGAGGGGAAGAAAGTGGAGATGACTGTGCTGTCTTCATCTGTCTCTCAGGCAAAGTATCTGAGTAAACCCCCAATGAAAAATGTCATTTCCAGGAATTAAATATCCCTTAACTCTTTATTTAGTACAGGTAATCTAGAAAAAGATACGTTGACATTAATCGTGGACAAAGAGGATTTTTGAGAATTCCATGTTAATATTTGATATGTTGAGGGGTTCTCATTATATTAGTTTTCTTCTGCTGCATGAAAAATCAGCCCAACACTTAGCTACTTAAAACTATAATCAACATTTCTTATCCCACATAGTTCCTGTGGGTCAGGAATTCAGAGGGTTTAGGTGAGTAGCTCTGGTTCAAGATCTCTCCTGAACTTGCAGTCAGGATGCTGGCCTATGCTGCAGTCATCAGAAAGCTTTACTGGGGCTGGAGAATCTGCTTCTGGCTGTTGGTAGGAGGCCTCCGTTCCTCACTATGTGGGCCTTTCCATAGGACATATCGAGCGTCCTCATGATATGGCAGCTAGCTTCCCTTCAGAGTGACCAAAGCAAGAGACAGAAAGGAGGAAGCTGTAATGTCTTTTGTGAACT